CCCCTAAATCCCACCGCTCAAATCGCCTGACCCCTCCCTCGCCCGCCCGACCCCACCCCTCTCACCTCCGCCCCCCCCCTCCCCCCCCCCCCCCCTCGAGCAGCAACCATGGGCGACAGCTACTCCGAGGCGATGGTGCGGAGTGTGCGGACACCACAGAGGAAGACCGGACAGGGACTGCGGGGCCGACCGCAGACGCCCACCCAGCGGCATGTGGAGGAGGTGGTGGCCGCGAGCCACCCTCTGGACTTGACGGCCGACCAGTTGGCGGCACTGCCACGGCGGACGGCGGACGAGCTGCGCACTCTCCGGGCTACACTCCGCAAGGCGTGCGAGGAGGCTGACGCGTGGCAGGCAGAGCGGGCAAAACATTTCTTTGTGGCTTCTCCCTCGCCTCATGCCCGCAAGCGGGCTCCGCTCACCCTCCCCTCCCACATCACCGCCGCGCTCTCGCCGCTTGGCGAGCTGGCGGCAGCAAGGGCTGGCTACGCGGTGCCGGCTGGCACAAGTCCGCTCCCAGCTCATCGCTCGGTCGGTGGTCTTGGCCTCGCCTGGCGTGCTCCGCCGGCCAAGGGCGACGAGGTTGTTGCCTCGCTTGTCCGTGACGCCAAGTCGGTCTTGTCTGATCTCCTCAACCGCCCGCCCGAGCTGGCCGCCATCGAGGCTGCGCTCGGCGTTGGTGAGCTGTATGTGGCCAAGGACGTCGACTCGCGTGGCCGCGCCATGTGGATGGTGCTGATGGAGGTCTCGATGCGACAGGGCCGGCACGTGGTGGCCTCGGGCGCGCTCATGCTCGGCCGACTGGCCAAGATCGGTCGCCCGGGCGTGTCGCCGGCCGGGAAGGCTTCGCGGGCGCGCAAGCTTGCCCGGGCCCGCGCAGGCTACCACTCGCCACAGGCAGAGCGGAGTGCAAACTACGCGGTCCGACCCTTCCGCGAGCTCCCGAATCGCGGTCTGGCCGTCCTCGGCAATGGCGCCGAGTGGCACATCGAGGCCGCGCCGCTGAGCTCGTTCCAGATGGCGACAATGCGGTCGTCGGTAGTGGCGAGTAGCGGTGCGAGCGCGAGCAGCACGTTGACCGAAAGCGGAGTGCCAGTCGATATCGACGCGTGGACGCCCGAGCCCGAGGTGCTCGGCGGGAGGGAGGTGCTGGCCGACTCGATCGCGGCGGCGCGGACACTGCTGGCCGACCGCGACACACTCCGGCTGCGGTCGCGAGTCTGGTTCAAGACTGCCGACACCCAGTCAGCCGGCACGCTCTCACAGGCGGGCGTCCTTCGCTTGCTCACCACCGTGGCGTCTGCGACAGGCATTCCGTTTGCGCCGCAAACAGTCGACCACATCGTCTCGCCGCTGCCGGGCGCGGTCTCGCTCTCGGCCTTTGAGAGCGCCCTGGAGGCGCTACTCGAACTCGAGCTAGCGGTGAGGATCCGCGCCCTGGACGCGTCGACCGATTCCCGTGCCGCAAAGCTGCTGGAGGACGAGGACGCGCTGCACGAGCTCGTTCTGGAAGTCTTTCACGACTTTGATCTCGCCGGCGCTGGCACGGTCGACGCTGAACACCTCGATGCCATGCTCGGCATCCTCGCTAAGCGAGCTGGACTGCGGACTGCACCGTCGGCTGGACTCATCTCGCGGGTACTGACCGTGTGTCCTGCACCAGCTTCGGGCATTCTCGGGGTCATGGACCTCTTTCCGATTGTGGTCACGCTGCTGCATCTGTACGGCTAGGCTAGCCAGTCGTCCATCGAGTCTAGGCTCCACTCCAACCCACCAAGGGTCACACCTCACAGGGGCTAAAGGAGAAGTTGTGTGTGTTACAGCTGGTCGTCCGAGACGCCAGCCGAGTGCGAGTCGGAGACCTCGGCCGAGGTATGGGTGTGGGCGGACATGTTGGACGAGCTCGACGACGAGAGAGAGCCCTCTTCGCCGTCGATGCCGTCGTCGACCATGGCAAAGCGGTTGACCTCCGTCGACTGCTCCTGCACCTCGGGCATGGGCCACACTCCCGAGTTGCCATGAACGCCGGAGCGGAACGACATCGTCCGCTCGTAGTCAGCGACCTTGGCCCGCAGCTCGTCGAGCTCGGAGCGCGCGCGCGCGGCGTCGTCGACTACGGCATCGAGCGCCACAATGGTGTCCTCGATCGGCGCTCCGTCATCGAGCCCGAGCTTGCGCTGGATGGTGGTGAGGCCCTGGACGAGGATCTCCATCCGCGACTTGGTGTCCGACACCACGCGGTCGAGCGTGTTCATCGAGTGCAGCACGTCCGAGAGTGTTGAGACCGACGACGACGACGCAACGTTGACGTGCGACCGCGAGTTGGACCGTCGCCGCGCGTACATCCGCTTGCGACTGGAGACTGACGCATTTGCCGGCGGCGCGCCCATTGACGCCCGCAGCGCCATGTCCGACGAGTCTGACGTGATCGAGTCGGACCGCTTCCGCGCCGACACCGCGCCACGGCCCTTGTCCGAGCTCGGCGACGCCTCGCCAGGCCAAGCAGACTCGCTCCCGTTGGCAGTCGCCAGCGGCGGAAGCGGCGGCAGCGCAGCCGTTGCTGGCACCTTGGCCGGTGCTGTTGCAGCAGTTGGCGTGGTCACAGCTGACACTGGGGCCGACCCTTCGGCGACAGTGCCCACTGTCACCATAGGCGGCTCCGTCTTGTTCGCCGCGTCAGGCCCGGCTCCAGCTGCCGACTCGGGCGGATGATGGTCACCTGCAGGGGCGGAGCTGGCCTCTGCCGGCTCTGCCGCCGGCAAGCCTGGCTCGGAGGGCGACACCGGCTCGGACGGCGGCCGCGCCTTGAGCGCCGAGATGACCGGAAACGACCGCCCGGAGAGTGACGGCGGGAGGAGCTGGTAGATGTTCTCGCGGGCTGCGCCAATGGCGCACGACCCAAGGTGGGTCACCGAGCACGTGGCCGGATCGACTACCCGCGATGCGTACGTCCACGCCGAGCCGGTGAGCAGGATCTGGCCGCCAGCCGCCAGCTCAGCGAGCCGCCACGCTTGCCACGCCGCCTCGGCGCGCCGAGCCTTGACCTCGTCGGCGAGCGCAACCTTCTCGAGACTTGCGTGAGCAGCGGCCACCACCGACTCGTGCGACTCCTCGCCATCCTCGTCGTCCTCCACCGTGTCGTCGGCGGTTGCCACCGGCAAGTCTGGCAGGGGAGCCTCGGTGACAATGGCGGTGCGGAGGCGGAGGCCGCGCTGGAGCACCGTGGCGAGATCTTCGGACTTTTGCACCCGCATCATCTCCGGACGCGCCCGCAGCGAGTCTGGCCACCTCGCAGACATAAAGGCCTCGTGCAGCGCAAACGCCGTGAGCAGCGCGCTGTCCGTCGAACCAAACCGGAGCACATAGCCACCGAGCTCGGTCGAGAGCAGCAGACTCGGCGGCTCGCTCACCACTTGCTGCGCCACAGACGCCGCCAGCCCAGGAAGTAGCTCCGAGCCCGAGTCCTCGCGCGCAAGCGGGCGCGCTCCATTCGCCACTTGGGCCCGCGCCGCCTGGACAGCCGAATCGATGGCGGTCGCAAACGCCTCTGCCTTGTTCTTGTCGGTCTCAACCGCGCTCGTTCCTGCACTTGAGTTGCGAGGAGCGACGGCATCACCGGCTGGGTCGCCCGCGGCCTGCTCTGCCGCCGTTCCGCTCGCCGCTGTGGCACGAGAAGCCAGGCTACTCGAGCCACGTCGCCTTGACGTTCCTTGCGGAGCTGCGAGTACGTCTGCGAGCGCAGCATGGACGACCGAGAGGCCCTCTGCAAAGACTGAGGCTTCGATGTCATGAAACGATGCTGCATTCTCGACCGAGACCGCCAGATACGCGCCGAGATCTCGACCATCAGGTTGACCTCCATGGTCGGCAGACTGTTCTTGCAAAGTGCTGCTTGGCGGCACCTGGTCACCTCCTTGGACCATGCGGGGAGCGGTAGTAGTCTCTGCCAGTACCTTGTCGGCGACCACTTCCATGTCACCCTCGTTCTTCTCCAGCTTGTCATTGTACGTCATCTTGTCTTGCGCAACGACCTTGGCTGCCATGACAGCAGTCTCCACACTCGGTCTCTCTCCCCTGTTCGCCGCCTTCTGTCCTCCCTTGCCCGTCCCTGACATTGGGAAGGACTGTGCTGGTGGTGGTGGTGGGGGGGGGGGGAGGGGGGAGGTGCGTAAGGGTGACGGAGACCGTGAGCGTGCGTGAGCGGATGTGTGTGTGTATGCGGTGTGTGTGTGTGTGTGTGCAAGCG